TCAGTATCCTCAGGTTTTAAATCAAAGTAACCGAGACTCAGAATGGTAACATCTTGATAAAAATCAAAACCAGGGGCCTCCCTGGTGGCGCAAGGGGTTAAACACAGCACTGTGAAGCTATCCGCAGAGTTCTATCCCTGGCCAGCCAGGAAGCTACCCACATGGCACAGCAGACATCTCCTGTTTTGCCCGTTACTCCCCTCAGCAGTGTACTTCAGTCAGTCAGTCAGTCTACCTGTTCTGTTCCCTGCTGTCTCTGGTGAATCCTCTCTCTCTCTCTCTCTCTCTCTCTCTCTCTCTCTCTCTCTCTCTCTTTCTCTCTCTCTCTCTCTCTCTCTCTCACTCTCACACACACACACACACACACACATCCCCCTCTGCACCTCTGGCCTATACCCCAATTCCTGTATGCATACATAAATCTTTAAAAAAAAAAAAAAAAGAAAGATCAAAATCAGCTGAGAAGAGGTAGACTTTAACTTGGCCACTACAGCAGACAGCTTCCTCTCTCTCTTGGACCCTGGAGCGTCAAGAGACTTGACCACCCTCCCTCTTACAAATGTGGGAACCGGGCCTCCCAGGTGGTGCAGCGGTTGAGCGCTGGGTTGCGAAGCTGCCCGCGGCCTCTGCGGTGCCGGTTCCATCCCCGGATACTCCCCGGCCACTGGAGGAGGGTCCCACATGGCGCGCAGACCTCTCCTGCCGCCCGCTGCACCCCTCAGCAGTGTACTTCAGTCCTTCTGCCTGCTCTGCTCCCCGCTCTGGCTCTGGTGAATTCTCTCACCCTCCCGCGCTTCTGACTGTACCCAGTGCTTGTATAAATAAATAAAAATAAATAAATAAATCTTTAAAAAAAAAAAAATGCGGAAATCCCATACCTCCTCAGAGGCCACCACACCTGACCACTGCCTCCTTACCCACACAGCCGATGGTCACCACCCCGTCCTTGTAGCGCTCCCGAGTCGGGCCAGTGGGCTCCATTGCCGAGTCAGTCTGCTGCTCCACCAGGACTGCCGGCCCATCCTCCTCGTCATCTTCCTCCCCGGAGCCATTACCCCAGGTGGCCCCGGCCACATCCCGGGCAATCTTCTCCCGCCAGCTGCTCAAGTCCACTACTCAGGAAGGAAAAGATGAAGAAGGTTCTCCCCAGGGCCCATAGATAATGGTACAGACCTCACACAATTCAGTTGGTATACCTGCGCCCTCTGTAGTAGCATGGTGCCAACCTACCACAGGGACTCTCCACAGCCTTCATGTGACCCCACCCTGGAATCATGCTCATATCTGAGTTTTTGAAAACTACTCAGAGAACTGAAGGCAGCAAACACCTGGGGCTCCTGCCTTCCTGCTGCCTCTCTTGTCCCACCAAGTCAGTCTGCTCCCTCTTCCATCCTCCCTCTGCCATCTTGCCATAAAGTCCACAATGGAGGGCTTGACTTTGGGAAATGTGAAAATGACTCAGGGCCTGACCTCCCCCATGACCCCCCATAGCCTCCTCTGAGGGGCACATACCTTTTCCCGCGGTGATGGCTTCACAGGCTCTCAGCAACTGCTCCGGCCCCAGGGCCCGAGTCCATCCTCTCCCCCGCCTCCGACTCTTCTTCAAAACTGAGATCAGAGGGCAAAAAGGGTTTCATGCACCCCATCTCTCCCACCACTCTTCAGGCCAAGATCAGGTACCCCCCTGTTAACTTTTTCTGTTCTCCCCTTTGTCCCCTGCCATCCCACCTCTCCCATGAGCCCTTCTCCTTGCCCACTCACCACTAGAGTCCTGTGGGGCACGGGGGTCTCTCGGGAAAGAGGTGAAAAGGACGATATGGAGCTGGGGATAATGTTGGTGGAAGTAATGCTTCCAGGCAACCACAAGAGCTGGGGGCGCCAGATCCACCTTATTCAGGACCAGCACCAGGGCCAGTCCAAGTTCTCCAGTCACGTACTCGTAAAGTGCTGGTGGGAAATTCACAACCTGGGACAGGGTTGGTAAGGAGACGGAGCAATGACAGGTCAACCCAGAGTTCTCAGCCTCCAGTTCCCCAATCATCAACACAGCCTGGAGACAACACTCTGGTGGTATCAGATTTTGGGGTAAAAGGGTAAATCGGCCAAAGTGAACTAGGAACACAAAGCAAGAGGTAAGAAACATCTGTGCATTTGTTTCTGGGGGACTTCCCACATGTCCTGCCAAAAACAAGAGAACAAAACTAGCACACTGGAGTAAAGGCTGCGACCAGGCACAGGGAGGGGGCTAGGACAGAAATTAATAATCTAGCATTTTCCTGTGTACGCAAACATATGTGTGTGCATGTACACGTCTGCATGTCTGCGTTGAGAACATGTTTGTATGTGTGTGAATGCAGAGGTGTATGCATTTGTGAGACTGCATATAGGAGTAGTATGTGTGAGTCATTAAGGACGTCCAACCTAAATATTCCCACAGACCTCCCTTTCCGCCACCAGAGGACAGCAGTGAAGTGGCTGAGCCAGGCTTACTCAGGGCTGCCCAGCAACAGTCTTGAGCCTTAACCCTAGCATCCAAGTGAGGCTGAGTCTGTGGTAACTGCTGTGGCAGGCAGGAGGAAACCCCGGCTGCCTTCATAGAGTCCCCTGGAGCACCACACTGGGGCTTTGTATCTGTCTAGGTGGGTTGGGAAACAGGATATGCAATTTGTCACAGAGTTAAAGGAGAAGAGAGTTAGCTGGCCTGAGGCAGAGTGCCAGGCCGAGACACAGATAAAGGACTGGGCACTGACCGCGGGTATTAGCATGGCAGAGTAGATGGGAAAGGAACGAGGATACCTCTTATGTCCCAACTCCTACCTTTGCCCTTTAAACTCTTTCTCCCTCCTCCCTAGAATCTTCTTCCTTCCTCCCCCTTGTCTGCCTTCATGCCCAGTACTCACTGGATGTCGGATATCAGTGATGAGCAGGACAATGTCAGACATCTCTAACACCCGCCACAGCTGCCTCCACGTCTAAAAAAACAAAATCAGCAGAAGAGAACCTGAGCTCAGAGTTTCTCTCCTGCCTGACCCCAGACCCACATAAATGTGGCTCATTATGCCCCACTTCTATACCTGCTCCGTTCTCACCTCTAGATTGTGCTCAAAGTAGCTGAGTTTCTCAGAGGCGTAAGCCCCATGAATCTTCCCAAGATACTCCTGGAAGCTCCGCTCCTCCTGGCTCATTAGTTGCTCCTTGGACATCTCATAGCTCCAAGGAGGACGGCGGGGAAAGTCCAGGACTGGAACATCAAGGAAAGTACCAAGTAAGTCTGAGGATAGTTTCAGCATCAAAGGTGACTCCCAGATCCCTCCTTCCTTATGGTAAGCTTTTATTTTTCCAAACTCCCCCACTGCCTGTCCCAAAATCCAGACACCGAGCTCTCACTCACTTGAACCAGGCTGATAGACCTCCCGGATGTCCAGCTCCAACACCTCAGCACTGACCGGCTGGAGCACTTGCTCCCGGGCAGCTCGCTTTCTCCTCTCCACCTCTTCCCGGCTGTCTCGCTCAAAATGCAGTCGGTATCTAACAGGGCAGGGACAGCGTCCATCACAACACTGTGGCCACAAACTCCCCTCTCGGGCGACAAGCTCACAAAGCTTTCTCTCCAGAGTTCAAGTCTTCTCTCTATGCGGGCACTCCCCATGTTCCTCTTTCAAGCAACATTCGTCTTTTCCCTCAGCCCCACGGTTCTCAAAGCTAAGCTCTCTCCAGTCCCTCGGAGGGAGGACTGTGTCCCGCTCCGGTGAGCTGGCGGCCCGCCGAGAACCGAGGCACCCAGCCCCACACCTCCAGGAGCGGCTCCAACAGCAGCACCCGCGATCCCCCCAAACTCGGACTGCAGGGTGGGCGGGGAAGTCCCGGGCAGCGCCCCCCGCCCACCCTCACCGATTTGGGTCATAGCCTCGCGGGCCCAGCCCCTGGGACGGCTGCTGGTTGAGCCTGCGGATGTGATGGGTCACAGACTCCCCATCGGAGGTGTCGGTCTGCTCCTCCCGCCGCTCCCGGCTCCCGCTGCGGCTGTTGGAACTGGATCGCAGCCCATCTTGAAGCCCTGCGGGGAGGAGCCGGTGACGCCAGTGCTGGCCGACTCTCGGGGACGCAAGACCCCCTTCCCCGGCAGGCCTGGCTCCCTCTCACCCCACCCCACTTAAATTGGGGCCCGGGCTCCCCAGTCACCCGGTCCTGGGCCCTCCCGGATGTGCGTGGGGGGGGGAAATCACTTCTCCAGGAATCTGCGGGGACGGCGCCCCGCTGGAGCTGGAGGATTTCCCCTCCCCCAACTCGCCATCCTTCTCCACCCCTTCCAGATGTGGGGGGGCTGGGTGGGGTGAGGGAATCCCCTCCGCGGTCACCCGCACGCACCGGCGCGCGGCCACCAGCCCCTCCCACGCCCCCAGGTGTGCGGGCACACCCCTCCTTCCAGAGGTGCGGGAGCCCGAGCCCCGCCCCCTCCCCGGCTCCCGCACTCACCCCGCTTCCGCTCCCGCTTGTCCTGCAGCTGCTTCTTCTTCTGCTTCACGCTGAAGGGCTTCTTCCTCGGCATGGCCCGGACCAGTCCCCTGGCCCGCCCTCCGCGGAGCTCCCGCCGCCTCAACTGACTCCCCGGCGGCCCCCGCCGCAAGGGCCCGGGACCCTGAGGGGGCGGGGCTCTGGGTGACGTCAGCGGGCGACTCGGCGCCCGCGGCCGGGCGGGAGGCGGTGGGGGGCGACGCGGGCCCAGCGCTCCGGGGGCGCGGCGGGAGGAGGCCGGGTGGGCTACCCGCACGTGAGAGCCGGCGGCATGGGGGGAGGCAGCGGCGGCGAGAAGGAGGCGCGCGTGGGAGGATCGGGCTGGCTTCGTCACGGGCGCTACCAAGTCGCACAGGGAGGAGGGGGGCCGCGTGTCATCACTCCCCGGCGCGCCGGGAGACGCCACCGCTCACCTGGAGGGGCGGGGGCGCCGGGGGCGGGGGCGGGGGGCGGGCCGCCGCGGGGAGGGGCGTGGACGCGCGGGAGCCGCCGCTCCCACCCGGGCGCGACCTCAGGGCAAGGCTCAGACCGCGTGTCCCGGGAATGTAGCCAGTTGCTGGGCTACGCCGGGGACAGAGTCGAGACTTGGAGGGGCGGGAGCGGCTGAAGAGTGCGGGGAGCCGCCCCGCCGCGACCCAAAGCCCCTGTGGGAACTGTGGTGAGGAGCAGTTTACAGATCGTCAGTGCCAGCGCGGGCGAGGAGAGAAACCCAGCTCCGGACTTTTGGAGCGAGGTCAGAGGGCACGAAGTTGTGCGTGCAGCTGCTACCATAGTAACCCGGGGACCGGATGTGGCGATCTTAGGACGCGACGGTCCTCGCTCTCCTCAGGCCTTCTGGCCCCAGAGCCTGTGGACTCTATGACACTCCGAGAGGAGCCGGCTGGGGTTTTTTCGGCGAGAAGACAAGAGAAGAATTTTTGAAAGAATTTATATAAATACAGCAAAAGGAATGCTGGAGACGGCCGCCATGCCTGGCAGAGACCGAGAGAGGCGATTTAGGTAAGAATCAGCTGCACAAAGGCTCCCCGCAGCCTTCCGGAAGTGAAATGGCGGGAGCCCCAGTCTCACTGTCCATCGCCCCCCCGGAAACGGAAACAGAATCCCAGTGTGCCCCTTCCTCACTGCCCTCCAAATCCCGCTGCAGCCATTGCCGCAACCACGATGCCGAAACGAAAGAAGCAGAATCAGCAGCAGCCGCCGCAGCAGCAGTTCGCATTACCAGATCGGGAAGACACTGGAGACGAGGAGGATGGGAGCCCCATCGGTAAGGACCTCGGGAGGGATGTGCACATGCCTGTCAGCAGGTCTGGGCGAGGGGTTAAGATGCTGAAAAGGTGCGGGGGAGGGGTCTCTAACGGAAGAGGGAAAGGCGCATGCGTTGGGGTAGGTGGGGGGTCAGTCTGAGAAGGAGTCCTGAACTAGGAGGTCGCTTACTGGAACCCTTAATTTCAATCCAGCCCCTAAACCTTTCTAGAGAAGGAAAGGGAGGTAAAGATAAAAAGAGCTCGTTTGCGCAGGCGCAGAACAGCAGGGGCGAGGGGCCCTTGGCTTGCAGATTGCGGTGACTGGGATGACAATTTGTGATGAGACTTTCACATCGAAGGTGGAAGTGCAGCCTTCTCTAAATCACTCGGTTCTGGGTGGTGGGGAGAGAGCTATTTGATTTTCCAGCAGATAGAGTTGGACTTTCTCTGAAATTAACCAGGCGTGGTTTGCATAGCAACAATGTAAAGGAAAAAGAGAAAGTTGGCAGTATTTTCCCCAATCAACCTCCATGACGGAGTCTCCACTTTTTGCAAGTTCTGAAAATGCTTTGCAGATGTGGACGTGAAGACTACTAACATTGCTGAGAATTAACATTGCTTTTACTGATTACAAAAATAATAGGACACGTAAGAACAGGATCATCAGTCCTTTAGGCATATATTGATGACCGTATTTTCTTGTCTGCTCTTAGGACCTCCCAGCCTCCTGGGCCCTCCCCCCATGGCCAATGGAAAACCTGGTGACCCCAAGTCAGGTGAGGAACGGGCCCTGATCTTTGATTAAGTTCTGGTGAAGGGAGCAAGGAGGGAGTAAAATGCAGGAAGGATTTAAAATCAGAAGATCAAGAATTATGTACCTGAATGAATGAATGAAAAAATTGTATTCATGGATTGGAAAACTCAGTGTTGTAAAAATGTCAGTTCTTCCCAAATTAATCTATAGATTCAATGCATTCCCAGTTAGAATACCTATAATGTCTTTGTGGAAATAAGCATCTACATTATATGGAAAAACAAGGATCACAATGAAAGGTTGCAAAGAGTCTTGAAGTGAGAGGGATTACTGTGAATATCAAGACTCAAAGCTATAGTAGTTATGACAGTTGGTGTTGGTGCACTGATAGACATAATATAAATCAATAGAATAAACGCAAAGTGTCCAGTAACAGCCTGCATGTGTGTGGACACTTCATTTGTAGATGGGGCTGAAGTAGTAATAGTCATTTCAGTAAAATTATGCTGGATTGATCGAATGTTCATCAGAAAAGAAAAACAGAAGGAAGGAAAATTGCCCTCTTATTTATATGATTACAATATACAATTCCAAGTATTAAATCTCATTATAAACCTCAAGTGTAAAAGGTAAAGAAATATTTCTAGAAAATAAGTGCTTCATGGTCTTAGAGAAGAGTTGTTACACAATGTTACACAGACAGGCCACTCTGCACAGACAATGAAGAAACGTTGATAAACTGAACTAACTAGAAAATATAAACATGTTAATCAAATTGATGTCGATTTTGGAGTCAGTGTGTTTGGAGTGCAGGGCCCTTGGGTTCACTCTAGGAAACGTTTCACCAGAGCTCCCCTTTAAGCGGCACTCGGTGAGTTTCCCAGGCAAGTTTCTCCACGACACAGAGACATTAGTTATATTTAAAGAACAGGTTCATTAGAAAAGGGACAGGAAAGTAAAAGATACCTGCATAGACACAAACAGGCAGGAATAGCTTCCCTGAGAGGGACAGCTTTGCTGAGAGAGGTCTGCATGATTGCAGGCGGGTGGCCTTGAGTAAAGCTGCCTCCTCTGAGGAGAAGCCCCGGCATGATACTGATCAGGCATGGTACAGGTCACAGGCAGTCAGGAAGGCTGCTGCCCTGCAGAGGGAGGGAGTAGGAGAAAAGGAAGCACCTGCATAGTCACAGTTGGGCAAAGGGATTGCTGCCCTGTGCCAGTGCAGAAACAGCACTGATAGTCTTCTGTTTGGGAGGGGTCACTCCTTATGTGCCCTTGGGTTAGTTGCTTATTTTGAATGACTATGTAGAATTTGAAAGGGACCAGAGACTCTACAATGAGCTCAATCTCCATATCTTTACCTTTGGATGATTCTAGACACTCCCTACTGTAGACTGATACCTGGTTGGATATTATGCTTTATAATGTAGGTGTTGGTACCTAAGAATCTTGGTTTGCATAGCTGTGTCGATGGCTATGCTAAGCTCTTTACCCCCACCTCTTTGTGTGAGCCAGGTTCTGATCTTGTGGCATCTCCTTTCCAGTTTTTTCACTCTTGTCCTCCATCAAAATACACCATTCTTTTTTTTTTTTTTAAAGATTTATTTATTTATGCATACAAGAACTGGGGTACAAGCCAGATATGGGGGGGGGTGAGAGGATTCACCAAAGACAAGAGTGGGGAGCAGAACAGGCAGACTGACTGAAGTACACTGCTGAGGGGAGCAGCTGGCAAGACAGGAGAGGTCTGCAGCTCCATGTGGGTTACTCCCTGGCCAGCTGGGAATCGAATTCATGCTGCAGAGGCTATGGATAGCTTGACAGTTCTGTGTTTAACCCCTTGCACCACCAGGGAGGCCCAAAACTGACACCATTCTGAAATGCATAGGAAACCTTTGAATAGAAGGTACTGTAACAAAAATTGTTAGGGGGAAATGATGTCCTGAGTTAATCCCATACAGGCTTTGTGGACCCCACCCCCACTCCAGACTAAAGCCATCAAGACTTTGGAAAAGACAAATCCCATCACCACCAAGGGAGGGTGGCTGGGACCTGAGGGTGGAGTTGGGCAGCCAGGTCGGATATAAAAACCAAACACGTAGGCCTTGGGCTCTCTCTGGCTTGCAATCGCTCGCCTCCTGGCTTCACCGCTCCTGGCTGGCGGCGAACTCTGAGAGCGCCATTTTAGGATTCCTGATCGGCGAATTGGGTAGGACTCATTTAAAACTTTGTCTCCCACTTTTCTCCCAGAGCTGTACATTTCCTCATTTCCCCTTCCCTTGTAAATAAACCTTTTATTGACCTTTCACGTGTGCCTGCAGTAGAGCATTGATAAGTCCTTTTAAGCGCGCGGATGAGGACCCACAGTCAGGCACCCCGTTTTATATCGGGGTTGCTCTACAACAAAATGACCAGTAGAGTTTATATTTAGAATATATAAGAAACTTCTAGGGCCTCCCCGGTGGCTCAAGGGGTTAAGCACTGCACTATGAAGCAATCCACCGCCTCTGCAGCACGAGTTCGATCCCCAGCCAACCAGGGAGCAACCCACATGGCACGGCAGACTTCTCCTGTCTTGCCCGCTGTTCCCCTCAGCAGTGTATTTCAGTCAGTCTGCCTGTTGTGCTCCCCACTTTGTCTCTGGTGAATCCTCTTACCCGCTGCATCTCTGGCCTGTACCTCAGCTCTTGTATGTATAAATAAATCTTTAAAAAAAAAAAAAACTTCTAGACAAACTGTTAGAATAATGGGTCAAAAAGTCAGAACAGTCACCTCAAAACACCCAAGATCTATATGGCCAAAAGCATATGAATAAGAATTTAACATTAATAGTCATCAAATAAATGCAAAAACACACCACTCTGAAAATGAAACCCTTGTGTACTATTGATGAAATTATAAGATAGAAATCCAAGATAGAAAACTGTATGGTGACTATTCAAAAAAGGAAAAATAGAACTACCAAATGATCCAGCAATCTCACTTCTGGTTATATATTGAAAAGGGTGGAAAGCAAGATCTTAAAGATACCCAACAATGCTAAGAGCATCAAAAACAATAGTCAGGAGGCAGAAACAATACAAGTGCTCATTGATGGACGGATAAATCAAATGTGGTATACAAGATTAGAGTATTATTCAATCCTCAAAGGAAGAAACTCCTGTCACATCCTACAACATGGATCAACCTTTACACTCTCGTGCTAAATAAATCAGTCTCAAAAAAAAAATACTGTATGATTTCACTTAAATGCAATAACCAGAGTAGTCAAATTCATAGCAACAAAGCAGAACAGTGGTTGGCAGGGGCTGAATGGTGGGGGAAAAGGAGAGCTATTCCTGACTGCCTATAGAGTTGCATTTGGCAACATGAAAAAGTTCTGGAGAGCTGGTCTCACAACAATGTGAATTAACACATCTGAAAAGTATACAATTAGAAAACAGTTTATATTGCAAATTTTGTATTAAATATCTTACTGCAATGAAAACACATACACCCCACTTTTCACATTCACCAGAATGTCAAGAATGAAAAGGATTGACAATACCAAATGTTGTCAAGGCTATGGAACTGGTGGAAGTATAAATTGGTACAATCACTTTGAAAAAGAAAAGTTTGACGTCCTCTTTTAAACTCAAGCATACATATATTCTAGGACCCAGCAGTAACTCTGCTACATATATGCTCAATAGAATTGCATACCTATGTGTGACAGACATGTATAAAAATGTTCATAGCAGCATTTTTCATTATAGCCTCAAACTGGAAACCACCCACATGTCCACCATCAGTAGAATGGATAAATAAGTTGTTGTGTGTACATGCCATTACTACACTGCACTGAAAATGAACAAACTCCTGCTACAGGCAACCTGGATGAACTCACAAACACAGTGTTGAGCAAAAGGAGCCAGACACAAAAGAATGCTGGTTGTATGATTCCATTTATGCCACGTTCAAAAAAAAAAACCAGGCAAACACTAATCTGTGGTGTTCAAAGTCAGAGTAATGGTTACCTTTGGGGAGGAGGGTGATACAGTGGGAAGGTGGGGTACAAGTGGGGGTACTTCTGAATTGCTCGTGAGACTCTTCCTTCACCTGGGTAGTGGAAATGCAGGTGTGTTTACTTTATGATGATAACTGGGTTGTGCACTTAAAGTTGGTGGTTTTTTTTGGTGTGTATTCTACTTCAATAAAAAGTTGGGTTTTTTTAAAGTCACGACTGCTTTGTCGGGACTAAGCTGGCCATTGAGCACCTTTCCATGTCTTTCTCTGTCCGTCTGCAGCTCTTCACAGAGGTCCTCCAGAATCAAGGGGACCAATGATCCCAGCCCTGCTGAGTCTCCCACCTCCTCCCCGGGGCAGAGGCCCAATTCGGGGAGGCCTAGGTCCCAGGTCTGGCCCATATGGTCGTGGTTGGTGGGGGGTCAATGCTGAACCTCCTTTTCCTGGACCAGGCCATGGAGGTCCCTCCAGGGGAGGCTTTCACAAAGAGCAGAGAAACCCTCGAAGGCTCAAAAGCTGGTCTGTTATCAAGAATACCTGCCCACCCAAGGATGGACCCCAGATTATGGAAGGTGAGGTCTATTTATTATGCTTGTACATATTTAATACCCACCACTCCCAGGGTGACCTAATTCCCAGAATGCCCATGACTCTTGGCCTCTGCTTTTGAAGTAGGGGTAGCCCTGAATGTTTTTCCTCCCAAGAGAATGGCTACCATTCCAAAATATCTGAAAATGGCAAGGTAGGAAATTTGATCATCTACTCTACCTCTGCTTTTTGTTTCATTTGTTTTCTTCCTTATTCAAATTTTAAACTACCTGATATTTTCTTGTTCACAGACAAATCTGGCCGTCCTGTCTGCCGACACTTTGCTACAAAGGGCCACTGTCGATATGAGGACCTCTGTGCCTTCTACCACCCAGGCGTCAACGGGCCTCCGCTGTGAGACTGTGCCTTCCTGTCCAGGCTGGAAGGAGCCCTCTGTGACCTGGCGGCCATATATTTCCCTGTGGCCCTGTGATGGCTACTGTGAGGCTGTTTCACCCACCACCCTCAGTGACGCCCACCCCATCTGCCATCTCCCCCATTTGGGGTCCAGAGTTGTGTTTCATCACTGCTGCGCGGTGTACACTCTTCCGATCCAGCCTCCAGAGACTCGCCATTGGGACCCCATCTTTGCACCCTTCAACTGCCTCCCGGATCCTCGTCCCCCTCACCAAATGACTGCTGAACAGGAAACCTCTTTGGTGCTGTTTCTTGTGCATCTGTTCGCCCAGCCCCCCATATCGCCCTCGATTCCTGAGAGCCCCAGAGCAGTTGCCTACCATTCCCTTCTTCTGGCTGCTTGTTTTAAGTCCTTTTTATGTGACACTCTCCACCTCCGATGTTGTCAGCTGCTTGTGAAACTCACCAGGTTGTCTCCCTGGGTCAAATTTGGATGACTGGTGCAGAGTGACTCCCTGACAGGCCACTCTGCCCTGCTTTTGGGTTCCGTAGTTTCTGCGTCTGTGGCATGACCCCCGCCGCTATGGTCTGTGATCACTGTGCTTTGTGAAACCGTGCATCCCCTCGTAGTCTTTCTCAGTGTGTGTGTGGCATTTTTGTGACTTCCCAACACTAGAGTAGTTTTTCTGCCAAAATGAGTGAGGCTCTTGGTGCCCTCTAGAGTTTTCCCTACCTCCCAACATGGGAGAATTGTGAGACTTTCCCAGGACTGCCTCCCCGGTCCTCCCTGTTCTCCCAGTTTCGTTTTTTCTGGGTCTGACACAAGCCCATGAGGTGTGCTCGGAAGCCTCTGAGGGACCCCCTCTCCAGCCCATTTTAGTTAGACGACATCATTGTGAGGCCACCAGCCCTTTTGTTGGAATTCTGTGAATCTCCTCCTGGCTTACTCAGGTGGAACCTGGACAGTACTGTCGCCTCTTCCGGCCTTCTTCCCCCGCACCCCTGGCCCTGGTTGTTTTCTGTGAAAACGGCAGTGGACAGGTTCAGTTTTGAACTGGCCCTGAGGAAACGAGTCAGGAGTTGTGTGGGCAGGAGGGAGGGATGAGAGCTGTTGGAGAATTGAGAATGATTTTTTTTTCTTTTTAACATTTTTTTTATATTAGTAATAAACGCAGTGGAAATAAGCATTTTCTTTAATCCCTGTGTTCTACTCATCTCTGCAGGGGTAGATGAGGCTATTCTTGTCAGAATCATTCTGTCCTTTAGTTCATACACAGAGGTGATGGGGAGAGGCAAAGGTTAAGTTTCCACTCTGAACCAATAAGGTCCCATCCACCTTTAAGCATCAATTAGACCGGTCACATGATGGTCAAAGGTAAAGTTTTGTAGGATAAAGGCCTTGTATCCATGGAGTGTAAATATGTTCCCCGTGTTGGCTTTAGGTTTATGGAGTGGTTATGACAAAAGTCTTTTAATGAATATTTGTAGAGTGCCTGTGAGCCAGGCAACATACTAGGCACTAGAGAAACAGGACCAGGCCAATGAACTTGAAATCTACAGGGGGAGACATGTCACTAAACAATCACAGATAGTATAGTCAGCCCTGTCAAAAGTGCTGTGAAGAGCTAAGTCGTTAACAAAAGGGGAAAGATGACAACTGAACCAAACTCCTAAAGACAAGAGGTGGGTGGGCAAGCGGAGTACAGATAAAAGTGTTTACTAGAGGGCAAGGATGGGGGTGTGGCAGAAGGGAGAGGATCTGGAGCACTTGGGGCCCTGAAGGACATGGGACCTGTGTCTAAGGAACCTTTGAAGAGTTTTAGATGGAGAAGCATCAGGGCTTAGATTGGTTTTTCAGAAACATCAGCTCTGGACCTGACCAAGCTTAAACCTTAAGACTAGAAGTTTGAGCCATCCAGGTGAGTCCTGGTGGTGACATGCGCTGGAGACACAGGCTGGAGAAAAGTGGGCATTTGGAAATAAGGGGTCAAATGAGTATTTTAGGTTTCTCTGGGCTAGTTCTGGCTGATATCTGTTAAGTGCCATTTAAAGAGGAAAGGTTTTGGGAAAAAATAGGCAGAATGACTTAATTTGCTTTGGGGATGGTTGAATCTAAGCTGAATTTTTAAGATATCCAAAGAATGTAAAGAGAAAACTCAGTTTTACCTCCTGTCTGAGGAAAAACCTAGTTCTTAGTTTCTTCCCTGTGAGTGTCCTTTACTAGCCACACAGCATCCTTCCCTTCTTGCCACGTATGTGGCTTTACCTGACAATGACGCCAGCTGGCTGGCCTACAATTTAATTAAATTCTGACAATATGTTCCAAAGATAGGTAGAGAGCTGGTTCCCACAAGACTGTCCCCTCCCTCTTCCCCCAGCGCACACTTCAGATGCCAGTCAAAAGCTCAGCTTGTAACCTATACCTCTGACCAACCGCCTAGAGACAGGTTGCACTCACCCTCCCCTTGAGTTGGGCTAGTGTACTAGCTCACAGCACTTAGGGACACATTTAACATTTACTGTTTACTAAAGGATATGCTAAAGGATGCAATGAACAGCCAGGTGATATACATAGTGCAAGGTCTGGGAGAGTCCCAAGGGCAGAGGAACTTCCGTCCCTGTGGAGTGGGGTGCTTCACACAGCCTGGGTGTGTTCACCCACCTGGAAAGCCCCAAACCCCATTCCCCACACCCCCACATACATACTACTGCAATTTGATAGTTTTCTCATAGATACAATCAAATTCTAACTCCATTCCTAGCCCCTCACCCCTCTGCAGGATGAGGGGAGGGGCAGAAAATTCCATGTTTCTGATCATGCCTTGATCTTTCTGGTTACCAGTCCCCATTCAGGAATCCACCCAGAATCACCTCAATAGAATAAAAAATGCTCTTAATGTTTTCATCACTTGGTAATTTGCAAGGGTTTCAGAAGCTCTGTAGCAGAAACCGGGGGCAAATTATATATATACAGTACATCCACATACCTACTCTTTTACACAGTGAGATATAAAGTAGAAGGGTGAAATTTAATGTATAGATTTGATAATCAGATTAAAACTAGAAATATAAACCTGAGTTATCGCTACGTAGAGGCTGGTGGAAGCCATGAGCATAGATAGCTTCACTCACTCTAAATAGTAGGCCCTGACTATGGCCCAGTTTATCAGATTTAGGTTCAATGTAACAGAAACCAAAATTAGTTTTAAAACAAGATAGGTTATTTCTCTTCCAAATCAAGAGGTAAGCAGTCCAAGGAAATCATGGCAATCAGGGCCTCCCTGGTAGCCTAAGGGTTTAGTCTCAGTGCTATCACCTCTCGGTTCTAAGTTCCACTCCCGCCAGGGAGCTAAACCACCTGGCCAGGCAGACCTCTCCTGTCTTGCCTGCTGCTCCCCTCAGCAGCGTATTTCAGTGATCCATGTGTTCTGTTCCCCATTCTGTCTCTGGTGAACCCTCTCACCCACCACACCTCTGGCCTAGACCCCAGTTCTTCTACGCATAAATCTTTAAAAAAAAAAAAAAAAAAGGCATGACAATCAGCACCACGGGTCCTCAGGAGTTCAGAAGGCCTCTTCCCCGCAGCATTCAGCTCCACCATTCCTGATGTCTGTCCCTCCTACTCACAGTCCAAAGTGAAACTCTAACTTGCATCCATACTCCAAGATTCAGGAGGAAGAAGGGCAAAGGACACCAACCACTTGGCAGGAAATTTCCCAAAAGGTAAAAAAGGTCTTAAATTTACATGCCACTAGCCATATTTAGTCCTATGAGTGAGGTTCAGAAAACTACTCTATTCACACAGCAATAAGTTAAGCAAATATTGGACTTCAGCTGGTGAAAATGTTAGGGTGGGATGAACCTCCTCTACTACCCACTCAATGCTAAAATTTAGGGGTGGGTGAACTGGAGAACAAAAAAATGCCAATGCCCCCCAGCCAAAGACCCTTGGGAACACCTAGTAAAGTCAAAGTTGGATTTATTCGATGGGAGAAGCAGGTGAGACAGGAGAGGTCTCTGCGCCATGTGGGTTGCTCCCTGGCCAGCCGGGAATCGAACTCTTGCAGTGGCTTTGGATAACTTGATAGTGCTGTCTTTAACTCCTGTGCCACCAGGGAGGCACTGGGTTTATTCTTTGCAGAGGTCTGATTAAGAGAGGGTGAGAAATGACAAGATTGAGGTTTGTCTTAGGTGATTTAAGGAAAAGTTCCAAGAAGCAAAACCATTCTGGATTGGGTGCTTTCGGGAACAAGAGCAATTCTATGATCACATGTATCAGTTAATCTCAATTAGAAGGGGAAAATGAAACATAGCAAGACTGTAACGTAAGAAAGCATTCATTCATTCATTTTAGCTAGCAGAGGGGGCTATTTAGTATTTAAAGTTTACAGAATAACCTTGTTTTTGTCTGTGCTTAGACAAGATCATGAACTTTGACCTATATCACCACTGAAGGACCTTGTCTGACATTGGAGTCCTGTGAGATTATGGCCTAGCTGTTAAGGTCAGGTCAGTTCCTAGTTGTCAGTCACTTTAAAAAAAAAAAGATATATTTATTTATACATACAAGAACTGGGGTACAGACCAGAGGTGCAAGGGGTGAGAGGATTCACAAGAGACAGAACGGAGAACAGAACAGGCAGACTGAAAGAAATACACTGCGGAGAGGAGCAGCAGGTGAGACAGGAGAGATCTGCTGTGCCATGTGAGCAGCTCCTTGGCCAGCTGGGGATCGAACTTCTGTGGCAGAGGCTGTGGATATCTTCACAGTGATGTGCTTAACCTCTTGCACCACCAGGGAAACCCTGTCAGGCGCTTTTTCTCAATAGTAAGCAAGCATGTAGGTTGTGATTAATGATTTAAATGAAGAAATGAGGTACTATGTAGAGAATAATAGATGGTAAGTTGCTCAAGATGTGAGGTGTAGGCCAGAGGTACGGGGAGGAGGGTGAGAGGATTTCACCAGAGACAGAGTAGGGAGCAGAACAGGCAGACTGATTGAAATACACTGCTGAGGGGAGCATCGGGCAAGACAGGAGAGGTCTGCTGTGCCTTGTGGATCAGCTCCCTGACCGGGGATCGAACTCCTGCAGCAGTGGCTGTGGATAGATTCATAGTGCTGTGCCTTAACCCCTTGCACCATCAGGGAGGCCCCCAGAACTTAGTTTTGGGGACCTCTGTCATTTCATGGCCAAGTGAAGACAGATAAAGATAAGCCTCCTAGAGGAGTGAGGAGGGATGACTAGAGAGGCAGGGAGAGATTTGGGTATAGTGTCTTCCGGGTGTATGCTCTGTGCCCAGTGCCAAGCTTTGTACACATTGTCTTAGTAAGGCTTCACATTCATTCAAAGAATATTTCAGTGCCTACTCTGGGCCAGGGACTGTTTTAGGATCTGGGCACATTTCAATGAAAAGGACATAACCCCTCCATGTGTAGTGCTTATGATCTAATGAAAATGACAGTGTGTAGGTATGTGTGTAATGTGTAATGAAATCTTTTTTTTAAGATTTTTTTATTTATTTATACAAGAACTGGAGTACAAGCCAGAGGCGCCGGAGGGTGAGAGAATTCACCAGAGTCGGAGCAGAGATCAGAGCAGGCAGACTGATGAAGTACACTGCTGAGGGGAGCAGCGGGCGGCAGGAGAGGGACCCTCTCCTGGCGGCTGGGGATCGAACCGTGCTGCAGAGGCTGCGGGCAGCTTCGCTACCCAGCGCTCAAATGCTACGCCACCAGGGAGACCCCTGTAATGAAATTTTATAGTAAAAAGTACTTAGAAGAAAAACTAAGTAAAGGAGAGGGTTGGAGAGTGACAAGTGGAAGAGAATACTACAATTGATAGTGCTTCCTGGAGGAGGTAGCAGGTCTAAATTAAATGAGAGAGCAACCAACCATATGCCTATGGGGAAGTGTATTCCAGAACTAGGGAACAGCAAGGGCAAAGGCCCTGAAGCAGGAATGAGTTTGATATATATATATAAAGTAAAATAGAAGCCAGTGTGGTTCGACTGTGGGGGAATGAGATCAGGAAGCTTGACAGGCACCTGGTCATAAAGAGCCCTGTAAATAGGGGCGGTTAGCCCTAAAGGTCACTGCAGGGGAAGGTGCAGCACCAAATAAAGCATTTAGATTTTATTCTGAGTATTTTGAGCAATGATTCATGTTTAAAACTCACTACTGACTGTAGGTATGAAAGTTAGACTAGACAATGGGAATGACAGCAGGGAAACAAGTTAGGAGGCTGCTTTGGTGTTTCCAGGGAAAGAGATGGTGGCTTGGTCCGAAGTAGAGGTGGAGAGACATAGGTAGAGTGGGGATGTTTTCAAATCTCCCAGGTGGCACAGTGCTGTGAAGCTGTCCGCAGCCTCTGCAGCGCGGGTTCGATTCCTGGCTGGCCAATGAGATAACCACATGGCGTGGCAGACCTCTCCTGTCTCACCTGCTGCAGCCCTCAACATTGCTTTGGGTCCATCTGCCTGTTCTTTTTCTGGTGAATTTTCTCATCCTCCCATACCTCTGGCCTGTATAAATAAATAAATATTTAAAAAACTCACTTGATGGCAACTCCATCTTTCTAGTTGCTCTGGATACATTGGTATCATCCTTTGTTTCTTTGATCATACCTGATATCAATTCACTAACAAAACCTGCGGATTCTTTTTTCAATGTCCTGAAACCAGCCCCTTTTGCCACTTCTATTATTGTAACAAGGTGGTCCCCAGGAAAAGGGGAGGTTCCAGGTTCCCTGTCCCACCCAAAGGAAGGTGGAGCTGAGCAGGGAGGAGAAGAAGCTGGACAGGAGACTGAAAAAGGAAGAAAACAGGATGGAGAGCAAGAAGGACACCTGAAGAAGGCACAAGGAGCGCAAGGAGCAGAGAGACATGTGAAGAAACTATGTTTGCTTCTTGGTCCTGGACTGGTTGACATAGAAGTGGTTGAGAGACCCGTGGGGAGGTTAACAATGGCAGCTTTATCTTGATTTTATCTTTATCTTTGATTTTGCTCTTTTCCTCCCAGACTTGTTTGATTGCTTCTGACCCTTTCCTATGGGTCCCTGCTAGAAAGTGCTTTAGATTTAGGGCAGGCTTTTGGGCCCTGCTTTGGGCCAACCCTGTTTGGCTAGACATTTACCCACAAGGAGATGGTAACTTTGGGTGCTTAATTTGGAAACTATATTCTTTGTTTTTTCTGTATTTCACACTAATTGTATTAAAATTCCTTTCCATTAAAGATCTATATGTTTTGTGTTGATGTGGCAGATGGCAGAACCTATTTAGAGTGGGCAGGTTTGGGGGCTCTGGGGTGCCCCTTCCCCTGCCCTGTAACGTTATCACCCTGGTGTGAGTCATCATCACCTCACAGGTCTCCCTGTTCTACCATTCCTCCCTGTCCTCTGCCAGCTACACAGCACAGCCCCCAAAGTCATCCTTCTAACATTTAGTTCACTCCTTTGTGGTGACTTCCATTTTAGTTAAGAGTACACGCCAGATACTTCAGATGTCCTGAAAGACCGTTCCCACTACAGACCTTGCTGTGCTTCTGTTTGCGGCTCCAACAACCTCTTGCTCACTCACGCCACTCCAACCCCACTGAGTTCCTAGCTGTCTGTTCCTCATATATGCCAAGCACAATCTTGCTCTAGGGCACTGGTCTAATTGCTCTCATGCTAGAATGGCTCTCTGGAAATTCTGTGAAGCCAAAATTCCACCCTCAAGGAGTTACTTGAATTTTGGCTCACTGAGGCCTCATGAATATTATGTTTATTTTTTAAATTTTTTAAAAAGATTTATTTATTTATACAAACACTGGGTACAGTCAGAAGCGCGGGAGAGTGAGAAAATTCACCAGAGCCAGAGCGGGGAGCAGAGCAGGCAAAAGGACCGAAGTACACTGCTGAGGGGAGTAGCGGGCGGCAGGAGAGGTCTGCGCGCCATGTGGGACCCTCCTCCGGTGGCCGTGGCTGGGAGCAGCCGGAGATCGAACGGGCGCTGCAGAGGCTGCAGGCAGCTTCGCAACCCAGCGCTCAACCGCTGTGCCACCAGGGAGGCCCAACATTCTGTTTATTACAACCTGTTCTGCTGATACTTTTTTTTTTCAAAAATTTTTTATATTTTTTATTTATTTATGCATACAAAAACTGGAGAGTAGTCCAGAAGTGGGGGGGGGGGTTGAGAGAATTCACCAGAGACAGAGTGGGGAACAGCACAGGCTGACTGACTGAAATACACTGCTGAGGGGAGCAGCAGTCGAGACAGGAGAGGTCTGCTGCACCATGTGGGTAGCTCCCTGGCCAGGGATTGAACTCATGCCGCAGTGGCTGGTGATACCTTGATAGTGCTGAGACTTAACCCCTGTGCCTCCAGGGAGACCCCTGCTGATACATTTGGCCTTAATCTATATTACTTTTTCCATGGTACTATCTCCCAGCTAGAAATGTAAGCAGAGTGGGCATTCCTGGTGGCACAAGGGGTTAAGTCGCAGCAGTATGAAGCTATCCATAACCACTGCAGCACAAGTTCAATCCCCAGCCAGGGGATTGTCTCTCCTGTCTTGCCCGCTGCTCCCCTTGGCAGTGCATTTCAGTCAGTCTCCCTGTTCTGTTCCCCACTCTGTCTCTGGTGAATCCTCTCACATACACCCCTGCACCTCTGGCCTGTACCCCAGTTCTTATATGCATAAATAAATAAATATTTTAAAAAATCACACTTTAGAAATCTAAGCAGAGTCTTTTATTTTATTCAGTGACATCCCAAGAACCTAGAAGAATGCCTTGCCCTCTTGAATGCCTGACATTCATTCACTGAGTGAGTGAATGAAGCAGACATGTCTTGCTGATGAGGAGGGGCAATGAAAAGAGAACATGACCTTTCAATTTTGGTCCAAGTAACAATGAAAGGTGGCACAATTTCTTGGTGTAAGGAAACCTGGAAGAGACATGGAATTGAGAAGTAAAAACGAGAGCTCACTTTTGTGCATCTCAATTTGAGATTTTATTAGAGAACTTCAGGAAGTTCAATAAAGAGTTGGATTCATGAACCTGGAACTTAGGGCAGAAGTTGAGACCAATAAGACACATATGGGGATCTCCATCAGCTATGGATGGTATTTAAAGTTATGAGTCATAGGTAATAAATCTAGTAAAGAAGAATGTTGAAGAATGAGGCCCAAGTCCAGGAAGGAGAGCAACCTATGAGAGGGAAAGGAACAGAGCAGAGTCCCTGATGCAAAAAAGGAGGGAATGAACATCCCTTTCAAGAGCTGCTGGGAGAGTGGTTAGGGTAAGGACCAAGAGCTGGCCCCTATCTGTTAATCTTGGCAAGACTGGATTCATTCAGTGGTGGGGGACAAAAGCGTGACTGTATGGGTTTAAGAAGAAAATGGAGCTGACATGGCTTTGGGAGCACCTTGCTCCCACGCCTATTAAATGGTGGAGTTGGAAGTGAACCAAATCTTTAGACGATGATTTGATGGGTGTGTGTTAAAACGTAATCAAAGTGTACACTTTGCAGTTCATCGCCTCTATTGTATGTAGTTTATTGCGTATCAGTTTTACCTCAGTAAGGCTGTGTTGCAATGTGTGTGGGGGGGACAAATTCCACTGCATCATGATTTCTGCTCGTTCTGGTAGAGTTCCTTATTTACAATTGTAACCTTAGGGATTTTGTGACATCACAACACTAACCCAATAAGGCCTCTTCCTGAGCGCCTTTCTGCCCCTAATCACACGTAAGGGGTTGGTAGAATGTAGCTTTTTTTCCTAACGTGGGCGATTGCTTCAATCCGCCCTAGACCAAATATTATATTTATTCTTTGGTCTTGCGGCGCTGCGAAGTCACGCGGTCAGGCTTCCCTGGCTGTCATAAAAGCTGTGCTAACGCGACCGGAGCAAGTTGACGCGGGCTCCGCCCCCTTGCAAGCCCCGCCTCCTCCGGCCTCGGGCACGCCCCCGAGGTGACGTTACCACGAGCACGTGCGCCGCTGGGGGCGGGGCTGGCCTCGTCCGCGTCCAGAGTCAACCCGTTCCGGGCCCCACGCTGCCGGAAGCGGAAATAGAACCGGCGCCGCCACAGTAGCCGCAACTGCCACCGCGATGCCGAAGGGACCCAAGCAGCAGCCGCCGGAGCCCGAGTGGATCGGGGACGGGGAGAGCACGAGCCCCACAGGTGAGGCCGATGGGCAGGGAGGGAAGGAGCGGGGCTGAGGAAGGGAGAGGAGAGGGCGCTGGTCAGAGGCGAGGGTCACGGGCGCGAGGCGGCCCAGGCCCTGAGGGGGCTACTGCGCATGCGTGCAGTGGGCGCGGGCGGCGCTGGCCCCTGCAGGGGTGGGCTTCGGGTGGGGAGTGCAGACAGGGTGCCGGGGTGCTGCGCGGGCTTCGGTGGGACCGGGCGGAAGATGAAGAGGAGCATATGGCACCGAGGGAGAGATGGCGAGAAATGAGAAGGGCCTCCTTTCTCTTTTGGACATCTTGCCCCACCACGCTGTGTATTTCCCGGCCCACAGGAATGTCTGAGCTGCGCCTCGCGCCCTCCCCCGGCCCCGCGGTGCGCGCGCTCGCACTTTCTCGGGGGCCGTGATTCCATCTGCTGCTCAGGTGACGACTCCTACCTGAGCTCTTCCCTGCGCCGCCCTTCTGACTCAACCGGAGCAAGTGTGTAGCTGCTAGGTGTTGCAATGGGGGTTAAGATTACTGAAAAGCAGCGAATGTTAAGCTTCAGTTTTTAATTAAGCACCATATAAACTGCTTTGGGGAGGAGAGAGGAGAAAAACAACATCCTCCCAGGCGTCAGTAGTTCAAGGGGGAGGTTAAATGACTACAAATTGTTACAGAAGGTACATAGTGAGTAATTTTACAAACATTTATTGGATGCCTACTGTGTACCTGGTACTGTGCAAAGGAATTGGGAAGGTAGTGATAAAAGCTAGGCCTTGTCTTGAAGGGCACCCCTTCTCTAGTGGAGGGATCAAAACAGTAATCAGATGCCTGTTTTTGAGAATGCTGTGGCACGGGAGAAGTGAGGCAAGGTATTTAACTGAGACAGGTGGGGAGGAGTTCCCACAAAACCTTTCAGGAATATGTGATAATTGAATTCATTCTTGAATGATAAATATGATCTAGTAAGGAGAAGCGCATTCCAAGCAGAGGGAGAAGTTTGTGTAAAGGTAGAGATGTGGCTGAGTTTGGCTGGTTCTCAGTATCGAGTGACTTTCCCAGTAGGGTGTGATAGCGTTGGAAAGATGTGCAGGAGGCAGATAATGAATACTGTGATATGCTCTTCTAAGAAGTTTGATCTTAAAGACCTTAGAAGGAGGACCCATTGACATGCATAAGGATAATGTAAGTGCCTGTGGTGAAGTGTGTGAGGAATGATCTGATCAGCTCACCCTGATGGTACAGAATGGCTTGAGTTGGGCAAAAATGAAGGCAGGGAGACCATGTAGGAAGCTCTGGCAATGATTAGGTGAGAAGTGGTAAGAGAATAGGCCAAGGCAGTGAAGACTAAGAACTGGGCAAGAACTGGGAACTGACCCAGTGACAGAAGAAGAATTAAGGATGACACTAAGTAACTCAGTGAATAGTAGACTTTTTTTTTTAAAGATTTATTTATGCATACAAGAACTGGGTACAGGCCAGAGGTGTGGGGAGGAGTGAAAGGATTCACCTGAGAAAGAGTAGGGAGTAGAACAGGCAGATGCACTGAAATATACTGCTGGAGGGAAGTAGTGGACGAAACAGGAGAGGTCTGCTGTGCCATGTGAGTAGCTCCCTGGCTGGAGATCGAACTCCTGCTGCAGTGGCTGTAGATAGCTTCATAGGTTGCGTCTCAACCTCTTGCACTACCAGGGAGGCTGAATAGTAAACTATTAATTGAAAGCAGTAATAGGCTATAGGATGGAAGTGAGAAGAGGTAAGATTAGTGTTTGAATGTCGAGTTGGAGTTTTCTGGGAAACATCTAGGAGATGGTCAGGAGAGGGCTTGTTTGGTGACTGTGGAGAAAAATCTAGCCTAGAAGTAAAGAGACAAGTGAGTGTAGTTGAAGTTTGGATGTGGAGGAGTGCCCTGGAGATTGTGCAGAATGGAGCAAAAAGTGGGCAGAATGTAGGAACCCAAAAGATCGCCAGCAATTCAGGGAGATGATGTGAAGGAGGCTGACGAGGTGAGACTGAGGAAGACAGAGACTATAGCCAGAGAAGCTGGAGGCAGAGCAGC